AGTTGAGTGTGTTGGTGTTAAGGTGTTGAGAAGAGGTGAATTGGTCCAGCTTAATCCCAATACTGAGGATATAGGGGCTACATACAGTATGTATGATATCAGCTGAAACCCAGGTTTGAAAGCCAAGACAATTAAGAGAAGGCTTAAGAAGACTGACCAGTGGATAAACTTACTAGTATTGAAGCAGCTGACTGGGACGGAGAAGTCACTGGTGAAGACAAGATGTGAAAAGGCAAGAGCCAGTGAATCTTGGAGATCCACCGTGAAATTGTGGAGAATTTTTTAAGTTAAGATACAGTACATAGCCCTGCATGTACAGTATCTTGCCCTGCACCCTTTCCTCCAACCTATCTTCACCCCCTTAGCAGCCTCCCTGGTTCATTCCTCACTAGGAATATAGGTCAATCATATTGGGAATATGTCTATTATTTCCTCAGACAGCCAAGTTTAAGCCAAACACTTAAATATTAAATACACGATCCCTTTAGAATTTGATCAAACTACTGAAGGAAAAGATGCAGCAGAGAGGATCAGGTAAGCAGTATCGATCACAGAAAGTTTTCGTGTGTACAATGTACGGTATGCAGGATGAAAAAAGTAAGAGGAAGAGGATTACCATGGTATAGATAGTTTTTCAAGAAATTATGTCATGGAGAATCACGAGTTAAGAGTTTCAGAGGTGAGGGCACCCTTCTTTGCTGTCATCCCTCTGAAACTTTTGATAAAAAGTTCATAACCCGCATAACCTGAATGTTTACATTTTATTTGCAGATTTTTAACTGATTCATTATTGCACTTTAAATTCTATTTTGTTCCTTTCTACTATTGATTTAATTTTTTTTTTCTATTTTGGCATTTTGACTAGAGCTGTTTTTATGGAGTTTACAATGAAAATACAGAAGGGATGACAACAACCATCTTCAGGCTGTCCGAAATCATACTTTTTCCTGATTTCCTATTATATGCATATATATTATATGCATTATATGCATATTTTGCATATAATGCATATTGCATATTTTCCTCCAAATCATCCTTACCTTTGCAGGTTTGCCTTGGTTCACTCATCTGTGCTCAAGGCGGGGGTCCCAGCCAAGTGGGTTCAGCCTAATTTACTATGACTAAAACACTCAATTAACACTTTCAATACACTTAATTCTTCAGTATTTTTATTTCATCTGTTCTGTTAATGTTTATAGTCTAATTATTTTTTGTGCTTGAAAGACATTGTAAATAAAAATAGTAAGACCTCTGATAAACAGATTTCCCCTTGCTATGTCTTTTGCGCCTTCTTTCTGTGTCTTTTTATAGTTCTGACTGTTCACTGTTAACTGAGTGCAAGAACTTTCTCATTATCATGCTCTTTATCATTGTATGATCTTCATTTCCTCATTCAGACTGGAGTCCCTCGTTCTTTATGTGATGTTAATCTTTGGGGCCTAGCATTGAATGGTTATTTTCATTTTCCCTAGATTTCTGTTTCCACTGATTTCAGATGTGTGCACTCTTGTCTAGATAGCTGTTACAATTACTTCTCACCTACCACATACAATTACACCCACATAACACTCACAGCCATCCTGATACAACACCATTCAACGTGTGAGATGTGTTATTCATAGCTTAAGGTGTTGCAGTGCAGGGGAATTCTTTTTAATCGGTGCTCTCCTGAAATGTTAAGACTGCTGATTACATTAACTCTGGGTTATCAAAGTACACAGGCCCTTCAACCTTGAGTTTTACAAAAACCCTTTTTCTTAACAATAAAATGGGATGCAGGAATTCAGACGTGATTTAATTTAATTCAGTCTAAAAGAAACGAAATGCTGGCATGAAAAAACCTGCATCTCCCTGCAATGGGTCTTCTAATTGCACTCCTGCTGCTACAGAGGAGTCTGCCTGAGGTGACTCCAATTTAAGGAGTTTTCCTGTCAGGAAGAAGTTAGCATGCCATTTTCTGATTGGCCAATCAGCCAATTGGCTACCTGGGGCTGAAACCCATACCATAAAAAAATAATTTGGTGGATTTTTATTTAAACCTATCTTTGTGTTTGATTACACTATTGTTCATATGTTAAAATAAAATAATGGCAAATAATGATCTATTCATTACCTGTTGAGTTTGCATACAGGCTAGGGGGTTATGTTTTGAATATGACCATATTACTCCAAATGCAACTGGTATTCATAAATTCATTTTTCTAACCACTTTATCGAATATGGGGCTGTGGGGAAACTGGAGCTCATCCCAGCAAGCAATGGGCGCAAGACAGGACACACCTCAGATGGGATGCCAGCCCATTGCAGTAGTATTCATAATTATCATTTTAAACAATCTATGAAAGAAATTGGCAGGAAGGTAAAGAATATTTTTGCATATGATTGAATTAAGCAGAATCTGCAGGAAAATAAATACATTTACTATTCACATAGTTGAGGCAACAGTTCAATTTTTTTCTTCTGGAATTACTATTAGTCTTATTAAAATGAGACTGAACGTATTGCAATTATAATACATCACGATCCAAAAGTAACCATGATATAGAACACTTATCTTTTTCATATTTATATTTTCCTTAGTGTTCAGACATTAGTTTTTTTTTTCTTTCTTATTTATGCATTAGAGAAGTCACTATACCAACATTATGCAATTAATTATTTTGGAATCAGTGAACGGATTCTCTATGAAGATGAAATTACTGTTAGGCAAAAGGACAGTGAAAGATCTGTAGCTGTTCGAAGGACATATGACATACTAACAATTCAAAAAGCCAGGAATCAATTCGCAGCCTTTTAAATGCTTAAAAACCAGCAATTGACAGGATTCATTTTTATACTGTCAAAGATGCGTCACATCTTCTTTTACTAAATGCGGTAGAGCATAAATACAGATGCAGACATTCAAAGTTCACGGTGCAAACCAGTACCGCACACCACTACACACGAGCCACAGGTCATTTAAAAGTTTAAATTTAAAAGTCTAAAAAGTATACAACTTAAATTCTTAATTGAATAAAGATTGTCCCTCAGCAGTGATCGGGATTCGAAACTGGGTGTGACAGCTCAAATGCTGTATAGGAGAGGTTAAGCTTTATTAACTCCACCTGGCGGTTTTACAAGGTGATTCGGGATACTATTAACATAATCACCAAAAACAGTATTGCGGTATACTGTGACATGCCTACCGCGTTGTACTGTAGCATACTCCGCTTGTTTTGAATTGCTGCATCTGTAAGTGCAGAAATATGAGATTGAGACGAGTACAGAACTGAATTTGATCCACTGGATATCAAAACACTGCCAGGTCTGGTCCATTTGCTGCGGTATACAGGAAGATTCTGTTGGAGGTGGAACCAGGGGCTATAGGTGAAAGCTTGTGGGGGGATGAGTCAAGGGCAGAGACTGTACCAGTTGAATGCCAGCTTAGGGAGAAGGTAATAAGGGAGGGTAAGTCACTGGTGTAGCAGCCTGGGCATCAAGACACTGGAGACGTGAGAGATGTGAAATAACAGCACAGAGTTGATGTCCAGCGAACTTCGGGGTTCTACAGGACAGTGAAAAGAAGGATTAGGGAAAGGGTAGAGACTAACCAACGGATATAGGCTGGGGCTGTATGGATTAGGATCAAGCATTCTGCCTGTGCTTCTCTTAGAAACATCGATAAAAGACCAGTCCCAGCAATAGCCAAAGGTGCAGAACGTCTCAGCAGTGCCAGGAATCTGTTTGTCGTGGAAGAAATATAAAATAATTCGTCAAAGAGAGATGTACGGAGTGCAGGCTGACTGAGCCACCAGGGATAAACAGTGGTATATTCTTTGATCCTTGTTCTCTTGAGCGTGTGCTTGGAAAGATAGAAAATTAATTTAAAAAAAGGTTGCAAAAAATGTAAATCTTGTCATGGCAAGTGCATTACCCTACAGATCGACTCGATTTGTTTGGCAATTCATGCTTGTGATGCTACGTTAAAGTGTGCAACCATAACGATGTTATTGTCAGAACCAACTAATACAGAAAATGCTGAAAACATGGAACACCAAGAACACAACATCCAGCTGACTGGTAAGCATCAGAAAGTAGTTCCTACGCCACCTCTGCATCTCCATCCTTGCTTCACATACCCCAACTCCCAAAAAATATGCGGTCATCGATCATCCCATCCATTCAATGAAAACACGGCGTAAAAACTCTCGACTAGCAAAAGCCAACATTTCTAAATACGTTCACAGTTACATCCATCTTTGGACCAAAAAACAGTTCCCATTGTACATCACCTCTATATCAGCATGTTAATTAAACTGGCTTCAGTGATTTTTAGTCCTCCGGCTCCTCCTTCAGAGTCAGTGCACATTTTCAGCACCTCACAGTGGAATACCAATCTCAATCATCCAAACACTAGGTCAGCGGTCTTACGAAGCTTATCACACGTACATCCCTACTGAACCGGCCAGGATAAATGTAGTGCGCAATTAACTTAATAGTTAAAGATGGCGCATTGGCGTTTTGGGGGTAACTTTTTTGGGAGTCTGGGCAGCCTATCGTCATGCCATTCCCTAAGATAGGCAAGACACAGCAAATACTCATATTTCGTCCCGCTGTCACACTCATTAGAATCTGAGTAACTGAAAAAAAAAGGTTATTGATGTTCAGGGTTTTAAAGAGTAAAGGACTAACAATTCCGTCAGATTCAAAGGGCAGCTACAATAACTCATGATGAAGGAGGGGTTAACTCACCTGACTTTGAAGCAGTTGGTTGCCTAGAGGTACGCACTGAAATCTCACTGGTTTTGAGTAAACCGCCGGCGTCCCTCTAGTGCCTTGTGAACGCTTAAAAGATCAGTGGAAAAGGATGAGTGCTTCTGGAACTTAAGAGGTCCCTCTTGTCCTTTGAGACAAAAGATCAAATCAAATAGTGCTGTATGTATACAGTATGGTATATATTACCATCAATGAAAAGACCCTCATGATATTGTAGCAAAAATGAAAAAATTCCACACACTTCATCCGGGTGCTCACTCTTCTTTATTACTTTTTCTTTACAACATGCCTCATGAATGTACAATTGAATTCAGAGTTAGGCCTGTCGACACTAAAACAATGAAGCAAATCCTGCACTTGAGCAATAAAATGGTAAATGTGGTATACCTGGAAAGCAAAAACCAAAAGCAAAATGCTGCCATTTTAATTGGCACAGAAAATTAAACTGCATACTTCAGCACAAGGCTTCCACCAGGTTTTTCTATGAGGAAAAACCTAATGATATGAAACTTAATTAACTTTCTATGCTAATGTAACAGCTTCCAGACATTGTGTTTCCTGACAGAGCTGCAGCTGTTTCATTTTTCGTCTGAAATGCAACTTTTGCAAGCTGTGTGCTGCAGTGAATCTCCTGTGAATTATCCCCGCTGTGTTGTTACAGATGTAATCTTCTTTAACCATTAATTGGGCACTAATATTTCACAATGCATTTCGTTTTGGAGGTTTACAGTGTATTTATCAATAGAGTTATTATAAAAATACAAATGACACATATTTGTCTTGTTTATCTGCAAGAGCCTTTTAACATGCCAGACCTTTGGATATGGGACCTGCTGTAGTAGCTAAAAAATAATGGAGACAGAGCAGAACAAATCTGTACCACCCAATAGGTACCTCAGTCTATTAAGAAATGAAAAGAGATGCTTTGATATAACTGATTTTCTAATGTGAAAGACATATTCTAATGATATAGTGATGGTTGGCTCTTTATGTAAAAGACAAACACTGTTTGCTTCCATCTGTGTAGAACCAGTAATCTTGGCATACACATGCACGATGTGTGAAGTTCTGACTTAATCATGAAGCTTTCAACGCCCTTTCACTCTTGAGGAGATTAGTTACTGTATGTTTTAAAATGTAAAAGGTACAGCCTTATAACATTGCCTGAGATGTGGTATGATCAAGCTAGGCACAACCTGGGGAGAAAACAAAATTCTTACAAAGAAGATCATGACAAGCCCAGAGTGGTATCACAAACATTCACACAGGTACGGTACTCTTCCTTCTCTGGCTACACTGTCAGTGCTCTTATGTTATATCTGATCAAAATTAAGAATAAAACTGTCCCACCTCACTTTGAGGAAAAGAAGAAACTGACTGCCTTCAGGTTAAATGAGGATGAATTGATGCAACAGACAACAATAATTTCAGGCACTTAAAATTAGCAATGGCTCTATTTTGTGCTTCTCAGTTTCCCCAGGTCACGTCCTTCATTTTGCCTTTTGCTTCACTATCTAGTTGTTTCAGGAGACCATGTAGTTTACCCTATCAGTTAGATAAATCTTCTACAGTAAATTCAAAATTGGTCATTTTATAGATGTTTTTTTATTTCCATCATGTCACACAATAGGAAAATACTACTTATTAATTAATTCCAAAGTTTAGTAATTTACTTTGCTATTAACTGATCAATTTCATTAAAATAGTATAGTGTAGTGCAATAACCATCACATATTGGATAGTTATTTGATTTCTTAGAGACACCTATTTAGGAATAAAATATTAACTTAAATATACTGTATTTTACTGACTTTAAATCTATCAAATCTAATTGCTATATAATGCCTTGAGTTGTCTTGTGTTCGATAAATTTCCCATTTATTAATATTTAATCATTACTATCGCATTGTTCAAAACATGCTATGGTATCTTCAATGGCTTTAAAATGACAAAACAAATAGCTTTATAATATAAATACTGTAGCTATTAGGGCTGTATCACTAAAAACAGTAGAGGTAATGTGAAATTAAAGGGTAAAAAATTTAAAAAACTATAAGAAATAATATTAGTTTATATCTTTTTTTTTTCAAATCAAGACATTTATAGCAACAAAGCAGAGTAACAAAGATGTTTCCAGTGACTGTTCACCATGGAAACTGGAAACAAAACAAGAGAAGAACAAGAGACTATCACAGGAAAAGACGCTGAAGAACAATTTTCTTTTTCTCACAAAATTCCTCCAACAGGAATCAAGTGATTACTCACATTTATAACGCACTGCATAGGAAGATCTTCTTTATTTTACCGAGTCAGGTCTGAAACATTCCAACAGTGACATTGAGAAAAATCTTTTCTTTTTTAATTAAACACAAACATCATGACTTGATCTTCTATTTGAAAAATATTTGTTTTACTACTAAATGTGTTTTCTAGACGTGCACCATACTGTATTTTTACAGGTCTACATCTTGGAGATCATACTCTTCTCAGGGTATTTAACCTGTTCTAGGGAATGCCAATTTTATGCGCTTTAAGATTCAATCTGTCAGGTCTATTTCACAGCTGGGAGAGCAAATTAGCTGCAAAAACATCACATTTACTTTTTTTTAAACAGAGTGTCAGATTTAACATTGGGACTATAACATAACAACAGCTGATATTTGCTTTTTTAATGTATTCGGGCATTCAGTAACATTCAGAAAAGATCACTGAGCTGCTACCTTAAAAGCCAGACAAGTGCAGGACAAATATGACACAATGTTTTGATGCTCTAAAGACATGTTTAGGAAAGACTAATAGTTTCATAGCACTTCCCCCTCTGAAGTCCAAAGCACTCCAAAATGAGACATGATGCCAGTTACTATAGAATTACAGGTTTCTAAAGGAGAATTAATTTTGATTCAGTTTCATAAGACATCAGCCGACTCTCATCTGCATTCAACTTTCAACACTAAGTGCCTAAGTGGATGCGTACGGATTTGCTTAGAAAAACACCTAGTCATATTCATAGCTGCGGAAATTCTGCTTATATAAATAAATGTATTTCTTTACTACTTATTTCTTATTATTTATTTCTAATTTGGAGTGATATAAGATTTCAAATACTCTAGTAAAAATACAAATGATTGAAAAGGTTTAAAAAAACGTAATCTTTTCTTGCTCTCTTTACCCTTCATCTCTTTTAGTTGAAGCGTTTCAAAATATGATGTTTCTCTGGTACCCCTTATTCTTATACCCCTTATAAACATTCAGAGAGTCTACTTTGGCATAAGAATATCTAGAAGAGTTTTTAATGTGTTCAATTTCTAGCATAAAACAAGCATTGTTGAGTAATACTGGAAGTAAAGATGATTACATGGCTAGTTTTTTTTAATTATATTTTTTTCTGGTTAATAGCTATTTGAATCACTGAATCAGCAAATATGCAATTTCATAAGGTAAAATTATGTGAGACCTTCAACGAATATATTTGAATTTTTGAAATGCATTTCAAATCTGTGCAGCAAACCTAACCTGTGAGCGACTTTCTGCTTGTCTATTCCCCCCAAATAAAATTCACAACAGTCTTAAGCCAAAGGTTCTTCATACAAAATAACACGAGAAAAAACAGTGATCTGTTTTCTAACAGTTAAACACCAGTGAAAGCAAGACTGCTACTACCATTTAAAAACAGGTCACTGTAAGGGATCTTAACCTGAGTTTCATTTTTCCCAAATTCTTCACAATTCATTCACTATTGCCCGATTGGTTTCACATTTGTCAAAGCACCAGTCTTTGAATCTCCATTCAAGTTATACATACGTAAAATGCATTTACTTTATTTTCCTTCTATTCCTTTCTTATTTTAATCTTATCAATAGCATTAATTTCTAACATAACCAACTGAGATTAGGCCCAATAATTCATTATCACCTCAAAAGCTTTAGAGCAAACCATTGCAACACAAAGGTCACTGTGTGAGATCACAAAAATGTCAGATCAATTCAAAACTCAGCTTTTTTCCCCATCAACCTTCAGTTGTTGGACAGATATTTGCAGAATCGGCAGCATGTAAACATTTCTGCTTAGCAAATACAGAAATGGGTATTATGGATTTTATCATTCAATTTTCATTTAACATCTTCTTATTAAAACATTCACATTTCATATTGGTTAAAATGTCTAATTGCCCAAATCATAAAAGTTTTGCTATTCTGACCTGCTACACTAAGTTGCATTTTTATACAGCATAGTTAGCCACATCAGTCAGGATCAGGACAATCTTTAAAGTCAGCATTTTGAGCTTTGTTTTCCAATGACAGATTTTACCATTACCTGCATTTCTTGATAACTATGAACTTTCACACACTGTACTTCCAGCCCTAATGCCTTGTTTGTTTGTCATGTCATACAACGGTGCTAATGTCATCAGTTTCATCGGGCTTCTTCTGCTTGCTCGGAAGGGACTTTAAATATTCAAGATGCCTCCTTGCATCCTCCTGGTTTTGGCGCACGTAATACACCACATAAGAGATCACCATAGTGAACCAGCCAAACATGGTGACCAGCATGGCGTAGTCAGTAGTCCTTTTGGTGAGATTACACAGGTCAGCATCGGCCTTGAGGAACGGTCTCCCTGCGTGATCGTGCAGCTCAGAGGTCTTACATATGACTCTGCTGGCAGATTCGTGATTGTACACCATGTTTTTCAAAACCTGCTGTAGGGTGCAGTCGCAATGCCAGGGGTTGTTCCCAATATGGGCTTTGGCCTTCAGGCTAGCAAAAGCATTCTTGTGCACTGTCGTTATCTTATTATACGAGAGATCGAGTGCTTGCAAGGTTTCCTCCAGCCCTTTAAATGCGTGTTCGCCCACGGACTCAATGATATTTTTGGAAAGGTTGAGCTCTCTGAGCTGGTGCAGATCCTTGAAGATTCCATCGGGAATGGACGTGATCCGATTGGAGTCTAGGCTGAGAAGAGTGGTGTCAGGCGGGAGATCCTTGGGAATCTCCTTGAGGTTGGCGTTGCTGCAGCTGACATTTAATCCACCAGAGTGTGAGCACGTGCAGCCCTTGGGACACATACTGGCTGAATGAAAGCACAGTATCATGAGGACAAAGCTTTGTAACAGCAGACACATGGAGAGGGAACGAGTTAACCACAGGCCCGCCAGATTCATACTGGGCTATTGGCAGTATCATCCCACCTCCTCCTCTGGATGACCCTGCAGCAGAGTTCAATCATACCGCATTCTACAGCCAGAGCTTTTCACAGTCTTCTTACCAAGTCAGTAGCAATGATGCCGGACTGAATTAATTTCATTGCTGGTATTCATTGGTCCAGGCTGAAAAACAAAATTATTGGTTTTTAATGCATGTTCATGTTTATTACGGACAAGTCATTCCTGCTGTGCGAATGCTTAACAACTGTGATGTTTGTGTGATGTGCTTTTCTGATTTGACATGCTGTCTTGTTAGAAGCGCTTGATTGTAATTTGCTATACTCATGTGTTCCATACTAAATAAACTCATGTTATAATTCTCATGTATACAGACACACATACATACAGTATAAAGTACGAAAACTTAATATAGCTGAAATAACATAACATTGTATGCATACCACTGTTTGAATGTCATGTTTTTCTGAGAGATACTACACACGTTTCTGTCATTTAGAATTGCCAGTTGGGTTTATACCAGCTTCTCAATTTGTAAATGCCAGTTTTCTTAAATCAGTATGGATCACAATTCATTTCATTATAGCAGCAACAGCGGGATGACGAGATTGCTACTGCACAGAATGCCTTACAGAATAGTTAGCAATGACTGGAGGAGTCATGCGTCTCACTAATCAATGCCACAAGCCTACTATGCACTTAGGCAGTCAGAGGATCAGCAGCTGTGCAGTAAGTCATGTTATCCAGGAGTTATCCAGGTACCCCATTCATGGTGTATCTTTAATGAAGGCTCATTAGTATGGAACAAAATGATATCACCAGAAAGAAAAACTGACAATCAAGCAAAACAGTTACTGTATAACCAGTGCTGGGGAAAAGTACAGTCATGGAAGAGGTGTTAGTGGGGCCAGCAGGGAGCGCTCACCCTGTGGACCACGTGGGTCCTAATGCCCCAGTATAGTGATGGGGACACTATACTGTAAACAGATGCCGTCCTTCGGATGAGACGTAAAACCGAGGTCCTGACTCTCTGTGGTCATTAAAAATCCCAGGGCGTTTCTCAAAAAGAGTAGGGGT